CTGAAGAAACCACATCCGCAGCATTCGACCTCAATGTGTAATCCAAAAAACAGTGAAGCAATGTCAGGAGATGCAGCCCCATGGTGGATGATGACCAACTATTGGTTCATACGCCATTTGTTCCCTCAGGATACTGGAGTTCATGTGCACGATTGGTTTGGAACCAAGGTTTTCCAACTCTCCTATGTGCATCCTCCACACTCCTGGTGCGAGAAGGCAGTGAGTAGGACTTCCCTGTCAGTGGTTGTATGCACACGGCCATGTGAGAGGATTTCGAGAGGGAGTGTTGACTCTTCTCACTTTTGGCCGTATCAGAGTATTTAGGCGCCGGATTAAATCTATAGGTACTACTAATCCTAATGACACACAGAAATACTTTGAATACAGTTTCCTAATCGTTGACTGTGGCCCGATGTCTTGTATAATGTGAATATCGTTAAATCATTGAGTTTTCTAGAAATTGTAGATATGTCTGACTTATGATTACTGATTTGTTCAATATCCATCTCAGACTAAACTGTATCACACCAAGAATATAATATTGCATAAGGTTACTTTATTTTAATTGAACTTTTAAAAGAAGACTACTGTAAATGTGTTACCTAACTGGAGGCAAATAATTATGAGGACATTTTGGTGGAGTTTTGTTCTCTGAGCTGGATGGTTTGGTCGTGGAGCTTTCATCGTTCTTCCGAACGACATCATCAACACAGAAGAACGATGAAAGCCCCACGACCAAACCATCCAGCTCAGAGAACAAAACTCGACAAAAATCATCCACCTGAGCTACAAATCTCCACCATCTCAAAATTATGAGGACACCATATATTTTAGTTTACATCATGAAGTGAATTTACATATTAAACTATTGCAATCAAGAGAAAGATGAATGGTTGTTTCATGATAGAAGTGTATACTCACAACTTTCCATATGATTGGATCAAAAGGGGTGTATTTCGTTCAAATTACATAGATAACTATCTGCATAGTTCAAATAAATTAAATCAAATCAAATCACTTTATTGTACAACTATCATTAATTTTCATCACTAATTCTATTTGCGCACCTGTCATATCACAACTCCACTAATCATAGATTCTCACAAACACATGTTGACATGGTGACTTAAATCTTATTCACCCCCTATCCTCATACCTGTCCTTTATATATATATATATATATATATATATATATATATATATATATATATATATATATATATATATATATATATATATATATACATCATGACACAATCACACACACATATGTATATATACATATATTCATTCCATTAGCATGATTTCTATGGATAAGCAACTTTCTCTTCTAATCAGTAGAATTAAATTGAAAGACTCTAAGATAATACGATGGTGATAGGGAGTGGTTGGGTGGTGGTGGCGGTGGTGGTGGTGGAATGAAGGTGGATTATTATTGTCATGGTAAATATTAACATGATTTAAAGAATTAATTTTTCTTGTATTAAATTATTTCTCTGTTTATATTGTGAAGGATAAATTCAACTAAACAAATATCCCTACAAATTTCTGTGTTATATAATATGTACATTAGTATATTTTAACATTAACATATTTCAATAATACAGAGAGGGGGGGGAGAATAGAAGATTATTGAATGAAAGGGAGAGTTTATAAAAGAGGGGAAGATTAATTCAATTAAATAAACAATAAACTGAATTTATAACTGATTACATGATAGTCAATTATTGAGGAATCATTAAACTTATGCTGAATAACTACTGATTATGTAAGTAATATTTGTGTACATTTTTGCATAAAGTTTCATGTTATGTTCATGAATTTTCTGTGTTAGTTTAGTGAGAAGCAGTGATCAGTGGAGTTAAACCGGGTCTATTGTGAGATAGTAACTCATTGAAGACAATGGTGGATATGTTGCTCAATTTCGTGGATTAGTTGAAGTTAGACATTAACAGCATTGGATACCGGTCGACTCAGTGGTCTAGAGGTTAAGTGTTCATGTGCGAGACCGACAGCTTCTGAGTTCAAATCTCGCGGGGTCCCATACTAGGACAAAATGGCCATCCGGTGTTTCCAGGATTCCCATGGTGGTCTAGCTTCAATTGACTCATGAATTCAACTATTAAGTTATGTTAATGAGTTGATAGATTTTTATGTTAGTCTTAAAGTCATTATCATAAAACGTTTTTAATAATAATATGAGCGTAGTATACTTCTCGTTGTTCGGAAACAGGAGAATTCGATCAGAAAACAATCTTCCACTCGAGAACAACTGTATTTTTCCAAGAGTTTCTTCGTCAGCATATTCTACTAACATGTGTAGGATACAGACCTCCAATCAACTGCCTAATGGGGTGGAGAATAGCTGAGTAAAGTGGAAGAAAAATGGAACACCTAATGACAACTGATCCAAATCCTAGGATCCTTTCCAGTTCTTTTTACCTGTAGCTCTTCTAGAGTTACTGCCGGCCCCAAGCCTGAGTAAAGGAGGAGGGTTGGGCATGGGGTTAGCGACCCCATCCTGTAGAAAACTAACTTGCTAAAAAACACTAAACAGAAAAAATAATTCAAACTATTTAGACAGAAAGATGTACGGAGGAGCTTCGCTGATAGAAAAAAAGGGAACTTTTTAAGTGGAGAATTATTCTATATTGTAAAACTTGTCATCTGTTAGTAGTAACTATAGGATCCAGTCAATTTTGATTGTTTAAAATGTTCAAATGTTTCAAATCTAAAAGAGTATGAGGCATTCAAGGGATTAAATTGAGATCTGAAGTTAGATGGTGGTTGGGGGTAGTTGACAAGAAACTCTGGACTCGGGTTTCGTGCTACTTGGCACTCGTCAGCAAGGTGTACCTGTAATCTTGAAGGAACTGGTTCTCCCTGGGGATTCGATCCCGTTTCACAGCCAGAGACGTTACCACTGAGCTATCCGAGCAGCGACCGACCTCCTGTAGGACTGAAATGTAATCAAAATTGATTGATCACTGAATTATTCAATATAATAAGTAAATTTCAACATTCGAGACAGAACTTTCATGATATTTTGAAGATTTTGTCTCGAATGTTGAAATTTACTCATTACATTGAATAATTCAAGTTTTTTTTCAGATTGATTAGGAGCTTCATTTTCTTAGATGTTAATAATGACTGTCCATTATTTATACTTAAGACAGCCATCCTCTTCAATGTACTCTTAAGGGCTAACTGAATCTACCCGTTGTAGATTTCAAGGAGTGAAATTCATCAGTGTTGTTTGGCAAATGTTCTATGCAAATTGCTTTGATTTTACTACTGATTCGCAAGCATTTTAGACAGAGTTGGATAGTAGCTAGCTTTGGTGTCTGAGAGGCACATTTTTTTCTATTTGGGACTCGAACCCAGGACCGTTCACTTTAAACGTTGAACGTGGAAGATCAATCGTTTCCCTCTAGCCGTTCTTGGTTTTCAGTTATGATCTAAGTAAAACCAGTCTGTGTAAACTGTGAAAATTTTACAATCTAATAAAAAGCACCATATTAACATTGGGATGTATTAAGGTTTGGGCACGGCCGTTTAAGTTGGGGACAATATATTTCTGTATGTATAAAGGAAAGTTAACTTTGTTAGGCAGTTTGAAGTAAACAACAGAAAATTGATGGGTCAAACTTATTACAGACTAAGGAAAACCTTTATGACAAATTCTATGTCGAACTCTAAAAGGTACTTTTAAATCAATCCGATGAATTCCATCGAATCTCTACAGAACTATAGAGCAGCCTGATTGTCTACTACATTCATTTATCCTCTGTTTGTTAGTTTAACTGAATACGATAGCATTTCAGTAGATATTCCATCGCCTATTTTATTTGACTAAGTTTCTGTCTGTATGTGATAATTATTTTCAATAGGAGTAGTTGTGTAGTGAACAAGAACACAAGTGGAGACAATCAAATCTACTTGAAAACGAAATTACAGAGAATCTCACAAAAATCTGAGAACTATATAGTAAGTAGTTAATTTGCCAAAGTGTCAATCTGAAGGGGGTTTTGTGAAGATTTTAGTAATTTAATAGTTGAATTCACGATCCAATTAAAGCTAGACCACCAAGGAAAATCCAGAAGCACTGGACAGCTGTTTCGTTCTAGCAGTACAGATCTATGACCCACCCCGCGAGATTCGAACCGGGACCTATTGGTCTCGCGCGTGAACGCTTAACCTCCAGATCATTGAACAAGCATCCAACAGTGTTAATGTCTAACTTCAACCAATCCACGAAATTGTGCCAACAATCTCTTGTCTTCAATGCTAAACTTATTGTAACTAATTGAAAAAAGCCAGATTGTTCTTCTATCCTGTGTACAGTTACTGTTGATCAAAATGTTTGAGATTAGTACTGAAATTTGGTTAGTTACGTGTTAAAACATTTGATGAATCGTTTAGTAAAAAACGAGATTCGACTTGAGTATACATAAATACATTTCAATAAACATCTTTTGAAAACAAAGCAATAATGAGTCATATATTACTGTTAAGCAATTAAGTAATCTAAAAAGTAATTGAATTTATTAAACATGTTCTTTAGTGCGATACAACTGAAGGACTTAAGTAACATATCATTTACAATCTTTTTTTACTAACTACATTCAATTTGATAGTTTCAAAGTTTTTTATTGTGAGGACGGCCCACAGGTGTACTCAAGGAAGCTCTAAGAAGGTCAGAAAGAGTCAAAGGTATTCCATATAATCATCTTTTGCAGGAACATTCCAGAATCTCGACGTATAACTTATTGGATAAATGCTAATAACCTCCTATATGCAGATTAAAAAACTATAATGATGATTTCGTTTTTACTAAAAACTATAAATACATGACAGTTTTGTATCGTATTCGACACTGTTTTGAAATAACATTCCTTTCATTTGTCTTCATCTGTCTTCTCATTTGCGACGTGGAGAGTACTAGCATTAGAGTACTTAAGTTATACGCAGTGTATCAAAGAACCCAAGCTCTAGATAAATCATTTATATCCCATCATCATCATCATCATCATCATCATCATCATCATCATCATCATCATCATCATCATCATCATCATCATCATCATCATCATCATCATCATCATCATCATCATCATCATCATCATCATCATCATCATCATCATCATCATCATCATCATCATCATCATCATCATCATCATCATCATCATCATCATCATCATCATCATCATCATCATCATCATCATCATCATCATCATCATCATCATCATCATCATCATCATCATCATCATCATCATCATCATCATCATCATCATCATCATCATCATCATCATCATCATCATCATCATCATCATCATCATCATCATCATCATCATCATCATCATCATCATCATCATCATCATCATCATCATCATCATCATCATCATCATCATCATCATCATCATCATCATCATCATCATCATCATCATCATCATCATCATCATCATCATCATCATCATCATCATCATCATCATCATCATCATCATCATCATCATCATCATCATCATCATCATCATCATCATCATCATCATCATCATCATCATCATCATCATCATCATCATCATCATCATCATCATCATCATCATCATCATCATCATCATCATCATCATCATCATCATCATCATCATCATCATCATCATCATCATCATCATCATCATCATCATCATCATCATCATCATCATCATCATCATCATCATCATCATCATCATCATCATCATCATCATCATCATCATCATCATCATCATCATCATCATCATCATCATCATTTTATTGGCTAAATTTGAATAGAAGTCAATCTTTCAATTTTCTTCAAAGAGAAATCTATACGAAACAACCGGATATTAAATTCACTTGGTGTTATTGTTTACTTGTATCTTCCCATTGATGTTTAGGACTGAAATTAATCAGTCTCATGTTGGTATGTGTGCATTCTGTGCGGATTGTCTCAATATTGTCTTAATTCACAAGCATTATAAGCAATGATGGATAGTGGCTAGAAGTGGAATCCAGGACGCTCGATTCATCCTATTTAGGACTCATCAGATGAATGTAAATGCATCTCAGAGTTGATGTTCACTCTGGGACTCTAACTCAGTACGATTCGCTTCAAATACTATCGAATTCTCTACTTAGCTACTAAGTGCTGACAGCAACTGCTTGAGCAATGGGGTGAAGTTTTAAATTCAATTAGTGTTGTTCTATTTGTATCTTCCTATTGTTGTTTAGGACTGTAATTGATCAGTCTCTCTCTCTCTCTCTCTTACTGGCATATGTACATACCAGATATCAGTTTAACGAAAGTTTTTTATTATTGATTATTGATTGAAAATCTGATAGTGACTATTAGTTGAACATAATAAAAACTTTCTTCCAGATGTTTCTGTTCTCATCTACTACTACTGCTGCTACTACTACTATTATTAGTAGTAGTACATAGGGATTAAGGTATATGTTTTTCAATTATGTATTTTTTATTATGATTAGATTTGTTGTTTGAAGTCCAACTTAATAATATTCACCACCTATCGTCATCAACATATTCCTCATTATCACCATGATTATTATCCTATAAATATGTAATATATATTCAGTGGGAATATTTACAAGAAATTTCTCATAACTTACCAAACATAAGTGGTCATTGTTATATTGATAAATGAGAATTTCTCTCCCCCCTCCCCCCTCTCTCTCTCGCTTTATTCTCCTATGAAATTGATAAATAAATAAAATCCAATGGAATGAATAAAGTAGCTCATTTAAAAAGTCGAACTCTTTTCTCACAAACAATAAATTATTGTATCATTTCAGGAGGGTTTTGTGTGTGTGTGTGTGTGTGGATATTATATTAATCTTAATAAATGAGACGATGAGTCAATTGAAGTTAGACCAACATAGAAGACCTGAAAGCACTGGATGGCTATTTCGTTCTCGTATGGGAATTATTAGCAGTGCGCACCCATGACCCCATACGCGGGACTTGTGGATTTAAATGTTAAAATATTACAATTTCCATAAATCCTCATACAGATAAAAACTATGTGCTTACTGAAGACTAGCTTCAAGATGGATTTCTTGGAGTTCGAGTGAGAAATTGTGACCAATGGAGTCAAATCCCTATCGGGTGGAGATAGTTATTCAACTGAGACAATATATAAAGGATTGCACAAGATCATTAATCGATTGAAGTTTGACATCAACACCAATGAATGTCAGCTCAGTGGTCTAAAGGTAAGACATTCGTAAGCGAGCCTGAAGATCTTCTATTCAGTTCTTACGTGAGCAGTGTCGTACTAGAACGAAACGGTCATCTCGTGATTTCAGGTTTTCAATTGTAGTCTAGCATAGATTGACTTATTGATTCAACTGTTGAAATGTTTTTCTTGTTTACATTTAGATCACAATCAGACACAAAATTGTCTGAACTTATATTAACAAGCTTAATTTTTTCATTAAGCTTCATTTCATACCGCACCTTTTCATCTAAGACATCATCAATATCTTTAAAGTGAATATCTCTCAAAGTTGTTAAAATTACCGGTTGACATTAATTCAAGGAAAATGCCAACAGTCAGCTTTTCTCTCATGTCGACTGTATGAAAAAAACTTGCAGAATTAAACTTTCAGAAAATAGTTAATAGTTACTCAGTCAATTTGTTAATAAAAGTCATTCCATCTTAGTTTAATTATCTGGTCTAAGTGCTAGCGCACAAGATCAGTACGTCCTGAGTTCGAATCCCGCGAGGCAGGATCGTGGGTGTGCACTGCTAAAGAGTTCCACAATAGGACGAAACGGCTGTCCAGTGCCTCCAGGTTTTCCATGGTGATCTAGCTTCAATTGACTCATGATTTCAATCTGTGAAATTTCTAAAATCTCCACAAACCCCTTCTGATAATTAAATTTTACTTTGTTTTAACAGTAAGCAAAGGTTATTCTTTATATCTATTCGATATTTCCAGTTTCTTGACTTGAACAATTGATATGGAGTTCTTAGTTACTAAATTAATGGTTGCTCTGGTTGTCAGAAGGGGTATCAGCTTGGTGAATTCCGAAGGAAGTCGGCTTCCATCATGAGACGTCATAACTCTTCTTAATGAAGATATTTTTACTCCCAGGGCAGAGTTTAAATGGTTTAAATTGTTATTTCTGGTTAACAATTTACTAGCGAGTTAGTTTTCTATGGGATGGGGTCACTAACTCTATGCCCAACCCTCCTCCTTTATCTGGGCTTAGGATCGTCAATAGTCCCAGAGGGGCTCCAGACGGAGTAGCGGCTAAGTGAATAATGCGATGGCGATTGAAGCAAATGGTTCTGGGTTCGAGTCCTAGAGTGAACACTAACTCTGAGATACAGATATATCCATCTAACGAGTTCCACATAGGACGAAACTCACATCCTGGATTCCACTGCTAGTCATCATCTATGTAGTGTTACTTACTTCATATTTTATTTGTTTTCTTATTTTAGACGGCTGATATATATGTTAAACAGGTCTTATTTGACTTCAAAATCTAACAATTATTATTCCTCTAAGATGTTGGCTACTAATGATGTCATTAAATCTCAGTATGATACATTACTAGATAAACAATCTATTAATTCATGGCTTCCATTGCCACATCCATGTGTATTCACATCGAATTGGTCATCTCTTCATTTTGATTTAGTTAAAAATTATCCATTATCTTGTTTACATTCAAAACATACATCTGAATCAAATTCCACATTAACACTAAAAGAATCCTGTTTAAATGTTCATAAACTAGGATCTATGACAAATGAAACAACCTTAAACAATGATCATTATATAGAAGTGAATGAAGATTGTGAAACAGATTCAAATATAATTCAGAATGAAAACAATACAGTGAGTTACTTCTATGATATTAGTAATATAACCTCATCAAATGATGAATTAAGTAGTTCAAATCAAACAGTATATGAGTAATTGTTTGATTATGTTAGTATCACCACTTAATTTAGTGTTGAAAATCAAAGAATTTTTATTGTGAATAGCAAGTTACTTTTGAATTCCTTGTTTAGAACTTTATAATTGATATGTTCCAAAGAACTTTATGAATAGAAGATCATGATTTTCTTGGCATTCATTCATTACTTACTTACTTACGCCCGTTACTCTTCGTGGAGGAGCATAGGCCGCTCACAACCACTCTACATCCAACCACGTCCTGGGCAATCCCTTCCGCCTCTTTCCAGTTGTTATTCTTCCTTTGCATATCTGCTTTTATTTCCCGACGTAATGTGTTCTTTCGCCTTCCTCTTCTCCACTTCCCTTCAGGATTCCAAGTTAGGGCTTGCCTTCTAATGCAGTTTGATGATTTGCGTGATGCATATGCGATCCACTTCCATCGCCTTTTTTCTAATTTCTTCTTCAGCTAGAAGCTGGTTTGTTCTCTCCCACAGAAGGCTGTAGCTGATGGTATCCTGTCATTGGATGTTGAGTACCTTGCGTAGACAACTATTTATAAGTACTTATACTTTCTTGATTGTGGTTGTTGTAGTTCTCCAAGTTTCAGCTCCATACAGTAGAACTGCCTTGACGTTCGTATTGAAGATTCTACCTTTGATATTGGTTGAGAGTTGTTTTAAGCTCCATATGTTCTTCAATTGTAGGAATGCGGCCCTCGCTTTGCCAATCCTCGTCCTTACATCGGCATCTGATCCTCCTTGCACATCGATGATGCATCCCACGTATGTGAAGGATTCTACATCTTCCAGAGTTTAGCCATCGAGTGTGATCGGATTGGTGTTCTCCGTGTTGTATTTGGGGACCTTGGCTTTCCCCTTGTGTATGTTGAAGCCTACTGATGCAGAGACTGCTGCTACACTGACTGTCTTTATCTACACTTGTTGATGTGTATGGGATAGGAAGGCTAGGTCATCTGCGAAGTCCAAATCGTCTAATTGGTTCTGAGCTATCCATTGTATGCCATGTTTTCCTTCAGATGTCGAGGTCTTTATAATCCATTTGACTACCAGAAGAAAGAGGAAAGGGGAGAGTGGACAGCCTTGTATGACTCCGGTTTTTACTTGGAATGCATCTGTCAGCTGTCCTCCATGCACGACTTTGTAGTGTAGTCCGTCATATGACTTCCTTATAATGTCGACAATCTTTTCAGGAACTCCATAGTGTCAAAGAAGTTTTCATAATGTTCTCTTATCTACACCGTCAAACGCCTTTTCATAATCAATGAAGTTGATGTATAGTGACGAGTTTCACTCAACTGATTGTTCGATGATCCGTAGTGTCGCAATTCGGTATGTGCACGATTGATCCTTACGAAATTCAGCCAATAAATGCCTACTCCACTTGAAATAAGCTATTTTCTTCAATGATTTATCTACTTAGATAGTTATGAATTTCTTGAAAGTTTGTCGTTGGTGTGAGTGAAAATTAAATTTCGAGTTATTGTTCCAACGGTTAGTTAATCTCCATCTTCAAAACAAGTTAAATATATATTAACTTTGTAGGTTTTAAGGATTTAATTTATTTCAAAATGATACAGTTGTATAATTAGTCTAGAAGTGGGCAATAAATAGAATCATTTGAATGTTTATTCAAAAGATCGAACAACTTGAATAGTTAAATTCATGAGCCGATATAAGCTAGACCATCAATAAAATCCTGGAACTACTCTCTGATTATGATCATTGTATGATCACTAATGACTGGCTTCAAGAGGTATTTCCTGGAGTTCTAGTGAAAAACTGTGACCAGTGAAATTCAATCGGGTCTGTTGTGAGATAGTAACTCAATGAAGACAATGTATCGCTGAATTTCGTTGATTAGTTAAAGTTAGACATTAACACCATCGGAAACTGGCCGGCTCAGTGGTCTAGAGGTGATATGTTCGCGTGCGAGACTGAAAGGTCCTTTGTTCGAATCAATATCGTGGATGCGCACCGTTGAGGAGTTCCTCAATAGGACGAAACTCCTGTCCAATGCTTCCAAGTTTTCCATGTTGGTCTAGTTTCAAGTGACCCGTGATCAACATAACCCCTCTATGATTATAATTTTTCTTTTTCCAATATAGAATGAACACCTTAATAAAGAATATGAAACTCTACCAGAAGTAAAGAAACCAATGTAAGTAAGAACAAACTAATTCATATTACCAGATTTCTTTTGTTTCAATTAAATTGAATTATTCATAACAGAATTGATTAATTGATAGAATGATTAACTAACAGTGAATGAAATATTCATTTAATTGGTTTAAGTTATCCTCTTGGTTAATAGTTTGATTGAAGTTTGGTCAGTCTTAGTTTGTATATGGGTATCCTGTATAGATTGCCTCGATATAGCCATTATCACACCAGTTTATATAGAATCGATAGAATATAGTTAGAAGTGAAGTTCAGGGCATACCTTTTATTTTATTTTTAATTCGTTAGAGTGGATGTTCACTTGAGGACTCAAACCCAGTACGTCAACTCTAGTTTGAAGGTATATTCATCTGACAAATCTCAAATAAGACAAAATAAATCTCCTGGATTCCATTGCTAGCCACTATTCATCTTTGCTTATACATCTTGTGAATTAAGGCAATATAGAGGCAGTTCGTACAGGACGCACATATGCCAATAAGAGACTGATCAATTTCAGTCCTAAACATCAATGGGAAGATTCAAGTAAAACAATACCAAGTGAATTTAAACTTCACCCGATGGCACAAGCAAGTCATTATCAGGACTCAGTAGCTAGGTGGATAATGCGAACGGTACTAGGTTCGAGTTCTAGGGTGTGCATTCACACTGAGATTCAGAGACATTCATCTGATGAGTCTTGAATAGGATGAAAGGCGCATCCTGTATTCCACTGCTAGCCACCATTCATGCTTCACAATTGATCGATCACTGGGTGGTGATCAATGTCATGCTTGTCTAGTCCTTATTAGTGCAGATCGAATGCTATCGATCATGTTGCAATGTGGCCACCAGTCTAGGTGACTCGACACTGAGGGCACTATGTATTGAGATTTAGATGGTGGTTGGAGGTAGTCAACAGGAAACCCTGGACCCGGGTTTCGTGCTACTTGGCACTCGTCAGCAAGGTGTACCTGTAATCTTGAGGGAACTGGTGCTCCCTTGCGGATTCGATCTCGTGTCACCCAGCTTCACAGTCAGAGACGTTACCACTGAGCTATCCGAGCCGTGACTAACCTCCTGTAGGACTGATAGTAAGGACTAGACAAGCATGACATTGATCACCACCCAGTGATCAATCAATTGTGATTACATCTCAGTCCTACAGGAGGTTAGTCACGGCTCGGATAGCTCAGTGGTAACGTCTCTGACTGTGAAGCTGGGTGACACGAGATCGAATCCGCCAGGGAGCACCAGTTCCCTCAAGATTACAGGTACACCTTGCTGACGAGTGCCAAGTAGCACGAAACCCGGGTCCAGGGTTTCCTGTTGACTACCTCCAACCACCATCTAAACCATTCATGCTTGCTTAGAACGCTTATGAATTAAGGCAATATCTACTGATTGAACGTATGCCAATAAGAAAGAGAGACTAATCAATTACAGTCCTATATATCAATAGGAATATTCGAGTACATAATACTAAGTGAATTTAACCTTCATCTCATTGCACAAGCAAGTGGCTATCAGGACTCACTAACTATGTGAATTACGCAATAGTGTTTCGAAGTGAAAATGGTACTGCGTTCGAGTCTCGGAATGAATATCAACTATGCGAATCAGGTACATTCAGTTACCAAGTGAAATAACTAACATCAACTCTTAGATGAAGATACATCCATCTGACGAGTCATGACTAGGACGACACGTGCATCCTGGATTCCATTGGTAGGTACTATCCATCTTTGCTTATAAAGCTTGTGAATTGAGTCAATTTCGGAGCAATCCTCACAATATGCACATATGCCAATAAGAGAGATAGAGAGATTGATGATTTGTAGTCGTAAATAAGTGAATTTAACCTTCAACCTATTGCACAAGTAATTGCCTATTAGGGCTCAGTATCTAAGTCATGTTTGAACCCGAATGTTACTGGGGTTTGAGTCCCATAGTTCCTTTGTTCTTTCTTTTCTTTTCTCTTCTCTTATATATAGATTATCAACTCATAAAAGTATAACTAATAATTATATAACAATCAAAAAATTTACAATCCGTGAAACAACAAATTTATTAAAAACATGGTTAAATAATCATCGTCATAATCCATATCCAACAAAAAATGAAAAAATTAAATTATCTATTATAACTAATTTAAGTTTAACACAAATTTCAACATGGTTTGCTAATGCTAGAAGAAGATTAAAAAAAGATAATCAAATGACATGGATACCAAAAATACGTCATCATAGGATAGTAACTAATTCAATCAATTTAAATAATAATAATAAGATACAAATTTGTCAAAAACCGGGTGGTGATAATAATAATAATAATAATAAGGTTAATATGGATCAATTATCACAAACGAAATCTCAATTAAAATCAACAATAATAAGAGATTGTTTAATTAATCCATTCAATACTCATCATCTTCATCATCACAACTATCACCACCACCACCATCATCATCATCATTCTCCTCATTTGACATCATTTAAAAATCAATTAATTTTGAAATATTTTCTAAATAAAACTACCCAGCAACAAGAAGAAGAAGAAGAAGGAGAAGAAGAGCAACAACAACAACAACAACAACAACAAGAACCATCATCACCACAACAAGAATGTCTACAATTCAAAGAGAAATTAAATAATAATAATAATGATGATGATCAGATCAATTTATCTAATGAGAATTCTATAATCAATAATGATCATAGTAACAATGATTATCATTTATGGTATAATGATTATCATACTAAATTAATCCATATAATCAATCAATTAAATTGTGAAAATATTGATCAATATCCATTATTCTATGGATCATTATCGAAATTAACTACATATAATAATACTACTATTAATAATGATAATAATAATAATAATAATAATAATAATAGAATAGTAAGAGATGATCAAACATCACAATTATGTAATCCTTCATCAAAAATATGGTCAGTTGCTGATGTCATCGATGTATAATTAAATCATAGAACAGTATTGATGAAATGAATAATGTTCTCTTTACCTTTTTTTTTGTCTTTTTGTTTCTGTATCTGGGACAATTTGATTACGTAATGTTTGTTAAAATTATTATTATTATTCATAATACTTATATATATATAACTATTATCAGAAGGGGTTTACGGAGATTTTAGAAATTTCACAGAATGAAATCATGAGTCAGTTGAAGCTAGACCAACATGGAAGCACTGGACGGCCCTTTCGTCCTAGTATAGGACTCCTCAGCATTGCGCATTCACGTTACCAGTGGAGTTCAACCACGTCTGTTGTGAGAAATCAACTCACTCAAGACAATGGTATACGTTGGCGCAACTTCGTGGATTGGTTGAAGTTAGACATTAACATCATTGGATACCGGCTCAGTGGTCTAGTTGGTTAAGCGCTTGGCGCGAGACTGATAGGTCCTGGATTCGGATCTCGCGGGGTGCGGGATCGTGGATGCGCACTGCTGAGGAGTACCATGCCAGGACGAGAAGGCCATCCAGCGCTTCCAGGTTTTCCATGGTGGTCTAGCTTCAAATGACTTATGATTTCAATCTGTGAAATACATATCTATTGTAATGATGCAAATGATAATCATATTGTCAATTACATTACATTTTATTAATGATTCAATCTGGACAATTTAGTGTTAACTAATCAAATTGATTAATGATTATGATATAACATTTACTTTCATTAATGATATATTTAATGATGGATGAAATATTTGTTGAAGAATGGTAGAAAAGAAACGCTAATGATGATAACAACAATAACAACTTACAATTGTAACTATGTGATTCGATTGTATATTTGTATGGTTTAAGTAAAATATGTTGCTGTTTGGTTGTACAAGGAAGGTAGTTAGAAGTTCTATACTTGGACATCTTACTTACTTGCTTACTTACTTACGTCTGTTACTCCCAATGGAGCATAAACCATCAATTAGCATTCTCTAACCCTTTCTGTCCTTAGCCTAAGATTGTATATATGATTTGTTTAAATCTATCTAGATTTCATCATATCCAACGCCTAGAAATAAACGAAACTCTTACCATCTATGAGATCAAGCCAGAACGATGAGTATAAAAGAAGTATGTCCTATCATTATCATTAACTTGACCTTTATTATTATTATTACTGCATTTTCCCCATTGACTTATACAACATATTCTCATGATTTTATTCATCATTACTCATGATATTACTTTATTTAATTTTATACACCGTTATGACCTTTAATGACCTTGAATGACCTTCGATGACCTTGAATGGTTGTAACAAAAGCGTTAAAAATAATTTCACTACATTCTCATTCGTTACTAACTTATTAATTCTATAGATTATTATTCGTATTACATAATCTAGTATTATAATCTTTCTATTACATCATCTTGATTATTTCTTGTTCATATTTCCTCATGGTAAAAGTACTTTCACCAAATATGTTCACATATATATTGATACGATTGTACAGCTTGATAATAAATTCATTGAATACAGATCCCTTCAGTGAACTTGATGTTTTCATATTCAATACTAGACATTGTTACAGAGTTGTAGTCAGTTCATTTAATATCTCCAAACATTAAGATGATGGTTAAAGGTAGTCAACAGGAAACCTTAGACTTACCTTGAACTATCATCTTATCTCAACATAGTACATACAATGTCGAGTCATCTAGACTGGTGGCCACATTGCAATATGAACGATAGGATTCGATCTACACTAAAAAGAACCTGACATACATGACAATGATCATCACCTAGTGATTAATCAATTGTAAATCTCCAAATATTATTCATAGTTATCATATAGAAAACTTAATGTTTTATTGTAGATCTTTATATAATCAATCCAGTGCGAAGCAGTGATCAATGGAGTTCAACCAGGTCTATTGTGAGATAGTAACTCACTGAAGACATTGGTGGATGTGTCATTGAATTTCATGGATTAGTTAAAGTTAGACATTAACAGCATTGGATACCGGCCAACTCAATGGTCTAAAGGTTAAGCGTTCGAGACTATTAAGTCTTGAGTTTGAATCTCGCAAAGTGGAGTTGTGGATGGATGAGTGAATTTCGTGCCGAAGTCCAAGACCTTTTCTCTTATACGTGATTGGTTCGTCTGTAAATTATGATCTCGCCGTTGGAATGTAATAACTTCAATATTTATAGACAGTTCTTTTGGTCTGTGCAAATTATATAATTCCAAATGACACTGTATTACTTTTTTGACAGGAGTTTTACATATAAAGTTACTTATTATGTTCTGAAATCTAAAGATAGTGAATCGGAATTTTTCTGTTATAATGAGTGAATGTGTGGTGTGTGCTACTTATATCAATATGAGTAGTATATAACGATAGTTAGGATTACAATGTCTGGCAGCAGAAGCTCAAGAAGCTCGGGAACATAAAGTAAATAGTATGGAAATGTAGGAACACTGAATTCTGAGACAATTGATTAACATTTTTCAAGTGAATTATTTACTGTATGGTTCTTAGATGTTACTAAGAGATTCTGTAATTTTGTGTCCAATTACATTTGGTTGTCCCCACTGTGTGTTCTCGTTCACTACAAACGTTATAAGTTGTGAAAATACATAATTTTATATATCTTTTGTCAGACTTTACAACCAGTCACAAGTAGAATGACATAATTTAGGTATAGGGTTTGATATTCGGTAAGAACATTAACACTAGGAACCTTGTGCATGCAACTGACTAGTTACAGGCAGTGCCAGATTGTATTACTAACTACAGTTATCAAATGTTAAATTAAAATTGATTGGGACCGTGAATCGATTGATGTCAGACTACTATTGTAAACCTGGATGCGCATTGTTGAGGAGTCCCACAATAGGATGAAACATCCGTCCATTGCTTCCAAGTTTTCAATGGTGCTCTAACATCAATTGGTTCATGATCTCAATCAATAATTTAATAACATCCACAGCCATATACTGAAAATTACAAGTGACTTTTGAATGATACAATATAGTTCAATAATATTTGCGTTTAGTTTTCTATCATTTAGTTGCATCTCTTAATCTTCCCCCACATTCTGTAGTCCAATTCAGTCAGTGTAGCATTTTCATAGTTGTTTCACTTCATATATGAAGATAAAGACAACAACAAGTTTCAAGTTAAAATCTGAACGCTCATGCTTAAAACCAATATTTCGGGCTGGACTATGCCAGCTAGAAGGATACGAAGGTAGATGCCATGACTAAGTGAATAATTGGTCTGATCAGAATGACTCCCTCATATTTGTATCCGAGCTGTCATGAGGCTTAGAGATATTGAATATTATCTCGCTTTATTAACAAGAATGTATTCCTCATTAGATTCAACTTCATTAATTGAAGTATGAACACAAGGTTCTTCTTATAACTAATTAGGTAGTATGAAATTCTGTTTCATTATACATGACATAGGGCCAGTGAAATGTAACTAAGCCCTAGGCAAATCATCACCGAATATCGAACAGATCATCGATCCTTGTCAAAGTGAAGGACAACTAATGCACATCAGTTAATCGTATGCTATGGACTGGCGCATGCGGTGGTGGTTTCACTATCTTCTCTGTACTCATTCTTACTAATATATTTTCTTAGTAATAAGATCATCATCAGGGGAAGTATGGGATACAATGAACAGCTTGGATGCAGATAGACGATTTCGATTATGCAGATGACCTAACTTTTTTTTATCCAATACACATCAACAAATGCAGATGAAGATAAACAGTATAACAGTAGCGTCTGCAGTAGTGTGGTGTGTGCTACTGATATCGACAGATATAATTAATAGGTATCATTAATAGAAAGTGATCTACCTAGCGGCAGAAGGTTAAGAAGATCGATGAAAAGAGAACGGGAACAGAGAATGATTGGTGTGGAAACGAATGAACAATGAAATCTGAGATGAACGAGTGACATTTTGCAGAAGGAATAGTCATGTTTGAGACAATTGTTTGATATTTCGCTAATGAAGTATTTACTATATGGTTCTCAGATTTTACTAAGATGCTCAGTAATTTTGTGTTCACATACGTTCGATTGTTACCACTTGTGTTCGCGTTCACTATAGCAGTGAAATTCAAATACACAAGGGAAAAATCAAGATCTTCAAATACAACACAGATCGTACAAGCACAATTACACTTGATAGAGAAGCTTTGGAAGAGGTGGAAACGTTGAAATATCTAGGAAGCATAATAGATGAACTAGGAGGATCTGATGCAGACGCAAAGCCGGTGATTGGCAAAGCAATAGTGGCACTTATAGAGTTGAAGAACATATAGAACTCGAAACAACTGTCAACTGTTACGTCCTTGATCTGTCTACCCTCTTTGTGCAGAGGATACTTGTCTAAACTAGATTAAGTCCTTGACGCGATAGGCCAACTGGCTTAACCTTGAGGCTAGTATGCGTGAGTTCGAAGTGAGACCTACGGCTTGGGGTAGAGAGCGACAAAAAGCATTTTATCACCTGACTGACTGAGTGAGAGAAGACAAGCCAACTGGAACACTACTCGATTTATTCTCAATTCCGATCTGGTTCCCGACTTTCCGATTTCAGATCATTGTAAAAAAATACATGAATAAATAAATGACTAACCTGGCCACAACGTACAATTATTAGGAAAATACAATTATGTCCAATACTGGGGATTAGTGTAGAAAATAGAGTACAATATAATACGTTTCAATAACAATAGCTTTGGAACAAAAAGGGCTATGGCAGTGAATCATACATCAAACGAAAGCTTATGATATGTAGAATAGAATATGAACGAAAATAAATATTACTGTTTTACGAGCTTTGGATGAAATGAAATAACGTCCCTAAAACTAACTTCCGTAGTTTTGTCAAGGTTTCTTGTTTCTCTGTTCACATCATCAACTAACATCAAATTCAGAATCTTCAATGCCATTGTCAAGACAGTTCTACTGTATGGAGTTGTAACATG